GACCTCCCTGTTTCTGGACAATATACTTCTATTAATAGAGTTGAAGATCACGTCAACATTTTTGGCAACCATATCACATTGTTAGCTCATATGAGCTTGCAGGCAACTAAATCTCTAGGTCTTATTTGCACAGTGTGGTATAGTGGATTGAGGGCTGGGCTTGGAGTCAGGAAGATTAAGTTCAAATCTCATCATAGATGCTTACTGGGTATGTGATCACGGACAGCTCTCTTTAAAGTATTAATAATACCTAACTCAAAGGATTGTTGTGAGGCTCAGGTGATATATGGCATATACTCTGCAAGTATTAAAGTACTATATGAATATCAGCTATCATTCTTTCATTTATCTCCTCTGTACTGTATTTGAATAATTAGAGTCATAGAACCATAGAGATCATCTAGCATGAGGGTTCTTAAACTGGGGTCAGTGGACCACCCCAAGGGATTTGTGGGTAGATTTCAGGGAGTCTGTGAGGGGGAAATTATATCTTTAATCCTATAAATTTGATCTTATGTATTTAAAAACATTCTAAAAAGGGATGCATAGGTTTCACCAGAGGAGTGAAACACAATAAAGAGTCTCCGGTCTATTCCAAGTTTCTTATTTTATAGAAAAAGGAATTTTAGTCAGTAGAGGTTAAATGATTTCCCTAAGGTGCACTGGTAGTAAATGGCAGAGTTTAGATTTGAACTAATTTTCTGCAGGAGGCCTTTCTCAATCTCCTAGGCTGTTAACATGCCTTCCCCTCTAAGATGATCTTCCATTTCCTTTGTATATACCTTATATGTATGTAGTTATTTACATGTTGTCTCTCCCATTAGAATGTGAAACCCTGGATAGAATGGACTGTTTATACCTTTTGTTGTTTGCATGGTGCCTAATACAATTATTATTCAGTCGTTTCAGTTTTGTCTGACTCTTCATGAGCCCATTTGAGGAGTAGTTTGCCATTTCCTTCTCTAGCCCATTTTACACAAGAGGAAACTGAGGCAAACAGGGGTAAGCAACCTTCCCAGGGATCGCACAGCTAGTATGTGTCTGAGTCCAGGTCTTCCTAACTCCAGGGCCAGGCCTCTATCCACCACACCATCTAGCTGCCCTGCTTAGTACATAGTAGGTACATAATAGATGTATGTTGAGTTAACTGACTGAACCCCGATCCTTTGATTCCAAATCTGTCACTCAGATCATAATCGGGAAGATGGGGCAAGTCTTGCTGAGCTATATTCCCTACTTGTATTCTTCCCTCAAGACCTGTCCCAAAGGCGATAACTTCTGGCCTACCCAGAGGTAAGCCTAACACACTCCAAACTTAACTGCTTCCCAGGGATGTTATTGGGGTTAATGCTTACAAACTCCATCCAGCTTCTTGAACAACTCCTGCATTTCTCTTTTGTTCAATCAGTGATGCAGTTGAGATTTTGAGTTCCATTTATCCTACTCTCAGCCCAGTGCTTTCTCTAGACCAGCTGTCTTTCTTATCAGCAACATCTGAAATTCAGTGCCAGGCCCAGTCGTAATGCTTTAAAATGTCATAATGGGCACCAAGCAGTAAGGTCTGAGACCAAGAAAGCTAGCCAGCTAGGTTGTTTCATTTGCATTTTATGTATCCAAAATGGGTGCCATAAGAGCTGTCTTAGCAAGACATTCGCAACATAAAGTGGATGGTGTTTTTTAACTCTGATCAAGCTACATACCAGGAAGGAAAAAAAAAAAGTGTCCTCAAAGAATGCTGCTTTATCATACAGTTGCCAGCCCTCTATGGCATCTTGGTGCTATAGGTTAAAAAAACAAAAAACAAAAAAAAAACTTTTCTCCCCTCCTCATTGGGTTGCTAGCATCAGGCACCTCCCCTCCCTTTTTCCTCAGTTTAACTTTGGTTGTTTATGTATGCATAACCTGTACAGCTGTGAAAAAATAACTTCTCCCTTGTAGGAGCTTAAGGTGGATAAATCTTTGATGTACATTGGTAAACTATTCTAATCTTTGTAGGCCCTGTCTGAGATATCAACTCTTTAATATGCATTCCTCTTGGAAAGCTACACAATTGATCTTGTAAAGATCCGAGTAAATCTTGGATTTATGGATGGAATAAATTGATACACATCTTTTTAAGGATATTTAGAGTAAAATGAAGGCTCCAGTAATGATGGCGACTAATTTGCTGTGTCAAAGATATATCTCTTATTTGCACTGAAATGTTTAACATAGGTTATGGGATACAATTCCTTTTTCCCCTTCTCTAGTATTTTTAGCTGAATCAAAGCAGTTTCATAGAAAACTATCATTATATAAATTACCAAAAAAAAAAAGAAAATATAAGCATAAGACAAAGAAAAAAAAAACAGCGAGCTGCTTTTTTGTGTCATCTCCTGAATGAAAATTATGGTCATGGATTACAGTAATGATCACAGTAAGCTCCAGCTTCATTCATTTGGAGCTATGACCCTGGGCAGTTATTGAATCATTTGGGCATTCTTCCTTCATTAATGAGGCAACCACAAATACTGAATGAGGGTAATCTGTGGCATTGTCCCCCATCAGGTAATTGATTATTCCTCTCCTCGAGCCATCGAGGTTTCGCTTTGCCATATTGTTGAAGGTCTAGAAGGAGTTCTGAGTCACTTTACAGACACATCCATTGGCAGCCATCAAGTTCCACAAGCTGGAACCCCATTCAGAGCCTGCCTGCTTCCTTGGCATAACAATCTGTGTTTGGATGGATTGCGATGCATTTAGTGGAATGCTCCTCGTTTCTCCCACGGGGCGCCCATCCATTTCATTTCACCTCTCCAGGACTGTCTGCAGATGTGCATTTCTGTCATTACAATTCCCACCATGCACCTCCCTCCCCCACTGCATTCCATAGCCCTCCCCTCTCCAAACCTCCACACACCAGGGCTTTAAATTGGGACAGTAACTATGGTATGGAAAGCAGTTTTGCTGCCTCCTGGCTGAGTTTACTCAATATGCTGATTCCCTCACATCATCGACACTTTCAACAACATACATACATTACCCCTGCCAGTCAAAGCAAGCTGTATGCCCTATGATCTCATTTGCATTCCTGACTTGTTCAAGCTGGTCTACTGGAGAGGGTTCTGAGAAGTGTTTGTGTTCCTTATTTACAACAGGATTTACATTTCTTGGACTGCCTAGGCAGCCCTCCCCCCCCTTATTTATTCCTCTCTCTTTTCCTCCCTCTCCTTGTTCTTGAAGCTCTTCCTGTCATTTCTACAGGCAGGTTCACAAAGGAGGAGAATCTTTATGCATTGTAAACACACTTCAGAATTTTAGCAGAGGGGGAGGACAGCCTTGCAGAGCAGATAAATGGAAGTGACCAGGGCTTGAAAAGCAATGTCCTTTCAGAGAAAAGGCCTGAGTTCTCAGAGCTGCTCTGCTGTAAGATCTTGGCGACAGGGCTGGCTTGCTGTCACACTAGGCTGGCTCCGGGGAACTGCTGATGGGGCCAGTTTCACACTCAGTGGTGAAATCAAGCAACATTTTTTTTAAAGTGCATGTTTGCTATTGGTCAAGGGTGGAAGAATGCACCCTGCCAGGCTTAGAGACTGCTCAAAATTTATGAGGTTTGTGTTTTGCACTGACCCCAAACACATTCCAATTAGAGGTAGTTAATGCTTCACAAATCCTAACTTGTACTTTCTGTGAGAAAAGAAGCTTTCTTTTTTAAGGATAGTAATTAATTAGGTCTTTTATAAAGGCAATATTTGCAGCAATGGGATTATGAATCCCAAATCCGTGCCTTTATTAATTAATACTATATGGTGTGTATATTCCCAATATGTGAAAATTGTCCCTTTGTTCAAACCCTGCTTTGATGCTGCACTGTTGTGAGCCCACACTTGGGGAATTTCAGATCCTGAAAGCTTTGAAATAAGAGAATCATCACCTTTTCTGCCAGACCAGAGAGGTGGAACGAATGACTTGGACCTGTTGCTGGTTTGTGGGATGGCCATAGCCTGACATTGTTTGATGCCACGCATTTCTGTGCTCACCATACCCATTTTAGAATCAGAGTTAACAGAATTGTGGATTTGGAAGAGGCCTCAGTGGCCATGCAGTCCAACCCATGTGTGAAAAATGATTCCTCCCTAAAATCTAATCACTATAAGTAGTCGGTCAACTTTTGTGGTCCTACAATGTGACCAGGTGAGCTTCTAGCCTTTGCATGAGGATCTCAAATGAGGTGGAACTTGTTATCTCTCAAGGTATCTCCTTCCACATTTTACCCAGAATTTCATCTCTTCCTACATACATACAGAGGTCTAAGGCTCAAAAGGGTCATAATCCAAGAAGATTACAGATTTTGGCACTGGAAGTATTCTTGGAAGCCATCTGAAACAACCCCTTTATTTCATAGGTGAGGAAACTGAGTCCCAGCCAAGCTAAATCACATGTATGAAGCTACACAGACTATAGACATCACAGAAAGGATTTGAATTCAGGTCCTCTTACTCCAGAGCCAACATTCTTTCTATTATACCGTACTGCCTCTCATGCATGAACTCAAAGTAGGGGGATGGAGGAGAAAACTATATCTACTCAGTGTTGAAACACTGACTTGGTAATTTCTGAAAATAATCAGTTAATTCACTGACAGAAAAACTCACTTGGATTATTGTCATAATGTAAAATCCTACATCCCACAGAGTCCCATGGTGGTACAAAGGACCCAGGGTTTGTTTTATTTTTTTTTCACTTATTCTGGCTCTTATGCCCCAATCTAGAAACCTGAAAAAAAAATGATTAAACCCCACTCCCAGGAAACTAAGACCTTTACTTACAAGCAGTTTATAATAATGTAGAATAAAACAGTTTTCTTTTTATTAAAGGGAAACAAAACAGAAACCCACACACTGAGAAACGAAACAAAAACCGTTTATGAGCCAACCTTTCCCCTGATTCTATGCAAATTCCTAGTCAACTCTATAACTCCAAATAAGAGAGTTCCTCTCCTATGGTTCCCAGTAGTCTACCTTTTGCCTTGTGTTAGTGGTGCCATTGTGGTGGGTCCCTTCAGTATTCCTTGTGTTTCTCAGTAGCTCCCTTCAAGTATTGCTGGTTGATCTTGGCTGTACTGTGACACCTATTGCTCCCAGTAGGTGTCACCAAGTGGTGCTCTATTTCATGACTTCTGCAACTTCTTATTGCTTCCCACAGAGGGCCCCACTTAGGGAATTCCCTTGCTCATTCATCCAGTTGTCTTTTGGTTGGCCCATGTCAAAACCCTTCAGAGTTTTCCTGATTTGGTAGAAGACAATGTTCTTCCCCCTCCGGTCCCGCAAATCTTGGCTGTAGGCTTTTCCTTCTCATCCCCTTTTTGCCACTGTTCCAATCAGGCTCTGAGCATAAAACAATTTGCCCTGTAACCAAATTCCCTGTTACACTATAGTTTCCAGATGGTTTCTATCACAGATACTAGATTCAGATACAATCTTTTTCCATGCCCCCCAAGTCTTATTGTCCTTCCCCCCTAAGTTACCAGAAATGGATGTCCTTAACTCAAGGGAACAGCTTTTACTCACTCAGGAGTCAGCAAAGCACTTGATTTCCTTCCCCTGCTTTAGATGTGGTCTGCTTGCCTCCAAAGGGCAGAATGAGTATCAATGGGTAGAAGTAACAGAAAGGCAAATTTCTATGTAAGGAAAGACTTTCTATTCCTTAGAGCTGTCAAAAAAATGCGAAGTGCCATTTTGGGAAGTAGACAAGGTCCCTCATTAGATGTCTTTGAGCAGAGCTAGAATGTTCACTTGATCACTTGTTGTAGAGGGAATTATTCATCAGTTATGGACCAAACCAAATGGCCTGTGAGCTCTCTTCTAAGCAGCAGTGATTCTGTGATTTTTCAAATCATTTATACTTTCAGTAATACCTTCTGGTTATATAGTAACTTCAGCTTTTGGTGGACTCAGTGTTAGCAGTTCTCAGGACCACATGACCTTGGAGATAGACCCAAATCATTATTGTAAGTCAGCTCAAAAGGAAATCATTGGATAACAGTTTTAGAACCAAGAAGAACTTTAGAGGCCCTCTACTTCTACCTCATTCCCATTTTAATGGTGAGGGTACTGAGGTTCAAGAGATTAAATGATTCTCCCAAGGTTTCACAGATTAAAAGTGGCAGAGCCAGGATTCAGACTCAGGTCCTCCATAGGAGCCTTCTATAGACTCTTTCTAGTGCACTGCATTAAGAGGAAGAAGGGAAATATGATCCCAAAAAAACCAAAACTAATTGCCTAACTTTCATTTTTCATCTAGTTGGTTTGGTATTGTGTAGACTCAGAGGCACACAAAAAAGGACAAATTTTCAACTATTTCCAATTGTCAGGGGAAAAAAAATTCTGACTTTGAAGGCCAACTGACAAGCTCAGATTTAAAGGGAAGAATTCCAAACCTAATGCACCACTGTGAAAAATATCCTAACTCCACCACTTTGGAAAGTAAATAAATATTTGAAGCATAAAAAGAGCCCTTGGCAGATTTTACATTTTTAAAGATAGGGAAAAAAAGAAATCTCAGAGACAACAAAGACTCAGACCTAATAGGATTTTACAGGTTAAAACCAATGCACTGGGCTGTACTCAGGGGGAAATGGCCTGTCGATTCCAACAGTCACACACAGCTGTGACCTTCATGCTCTACAAAACATAGTAAAGAAAGTTCATTCTGTCACAATTCTTGCTTAGTTCACCATCCCTTAATATGTCATAAAATATGGATAGTCTCCACTGGGTGAACCTCCCCCACTCCCACAAAAATGGCTCTGCCAGTTCACTTTTAGATCACATTTTGCCACAGAAAACCATTTCAGTAAACTGTTACCAAGCTGCTCTCCTATAGTTCATTTCTTTAGCATCAACATAACTGGAAGTGACAGAGAGTGTGTCCCAAATGCAGGCTCTTCAACCCTTTGAATGTTCATTAACTCCTCTGGCTGCTGCTTCTGTTTCAGTGACTGGAGTCATCATATTCTAAACAGAAGAAGGCTTATGTTGAAATAACCAAAGAATAGGTAGAGCCCAACTTTAGCCTGATTTCCTTTTCTTTGCATGGAGATATTGTATGGTATAGAGAAGAGTACTTTGGATTTGAAGTTTAGAGACTGAGTACAAGTCCTTAATCTGATGCTTCCTATCTGGGTATCAATTTCATCATCTAAAAAATGGGAGTATCATATGATCTCCAAGTTATCTTCCAGTTCCAAATCTCTTTGATGTCAGAGGTGCAAACCATACAAATGTGTGAAAGGAAGACACACTTTCTGATGAGCCCTATACTCTCCATCTCCCCTGTGTGTTCATAATCACTTAATCAATCAATGAGTATGTGTTAAGTGCTACTGGGTCAGCCACTATTCTAGGTGCTAGTGATGTAAAGACAAAAATGTAACAGTCCCTGCCCTCAGGAACTTACATTTTGGTGGGCGAGATCATATGTGCATATTTAATTATAGAAGAATATATGCAGTAGAAATGCATGGTAATGGGGTAAGCAGTAGCAGTAGCAGGAAAGACCTCATGTAAGAAATGGAATGAGAAGGCTAAGGATTCTGAGAAGTCAAGGAAAAGAGAAGGAGTGTATTTTTGGCAGATGGGAAAAGCCTGTTTGAATAACATAGGATCATAAGATAATAGGTATAGAGCCAGAAGGGAGTTTAGAGATCAAGTCCACTGTCTTCCCATTTTAGAGATGAAAATACTGAGGCTGAGTAGTCAAATGACTTACCCATAGTCACATGGCTAGTGCTAAAGGCAGGATTTGAACTCAGATCTTAATGATTCTGAGTCCTTTTCCCACTATACCACATGGTCTTTTTAGGCATAGGACCAGCTTTGTATGATGCCAAGCTTTGCATTACATCAATACAATCCTATTTTAAAACCTTTTTTCTTTGAATGCAGGCTTCTAGGTTAGTTATGTTTATTAGAAGATGATGTCACCAAACCCTTCTAATCCAATTGGCTTGATTTCAGAAAAAAACCTTTGGGGTCACACACAGCTGTGTGACCCTTAACCTTTGTCTGTCTTAGTTCCTTCATCTGTAAAAAGAGGGAAATAAGAGAACCTATTGCTACTAAAGGAATAACAAGTCAGAGAACATAGCCTACTGAAAATGGTCCAGTAGCATCTTCTTACTTATCTGAATACAGATCGCATCCTGCTGTCACCAGTAGAAGGCAAACTTTTTCAGGGTAGGGGGTTTAGGTTTTTGTCTCTATGTCCTTATATATTAGCACAGTGCCTTGCATGTAGGGGGCATTTAGATGTTTACTGAATTGAATTCAATACTTCAAAGAGTCAGATTTTTATCCATATGTATCTCTTCTAGTAATAAATATCTCTAGTCTTCTCTGTTTTAGTAGATGTTTTTTCTAAGTTGTTTTGGCCAAAAATTCATCACTCTGGGGTCAACTTTTTTTTTTTTTTTTTTTTTTTTTGGTTAGTCAGGGGGGTTAAGTGACTTGCCCAGAGTCACACAGCTAGTAAGTGTTATATGTCTGAGGCTGGATTTGAATTCAGCTCCTCCTGAATCCAGGGCCAGTGCTCTATCCACTGTGCCACCAAGCTGCCCCTCTGGGGTCAACTTTGTGACAAGTCTCTCCAACCTTTGTCAGGTTGGTCTTTAGATAATAACAACAGCAATGCATTTATACTGAATTTTACATTTTGCAAAGTGCTTTACAGTAGATTTAAGCCTTGCAACAGCCTTGTGAGGTGGGGGATTTTATCAGCTCTATTTTATAAACGATGAAACTGAGGCCTGGAGAAGTTAGGTTTCATGCATGCTGTGACTTGGTCCTAGTCACACAGCTAGTTAGTATCAGATACAGGATCTGAACCATAATCTTCCAGATTCCTGTTCTGCTATTCTGTCTACTATGTCATACATACATTCAACTTCTGAGCCAATAGGTAATGCTTTCCAAGAAAAGTAGAGCTTCCATGATCTAGCCCTCCAAAACCCAAGTTCACCTCTATACCATATTTTATGCTGTAGACTTAAGTGGAAGACTTATTACTTAGGAAGAATAAAACATTTGCTTTAATATAGTGTTTTCTAAACATTGTTTATGTCTTGTACATGAATGTTTTTTCCTTTCTTCCCTCATTTAGACTGGGCAATCACAGAATGATAGATATTTAGCTAGAAAGGACCTTAGAGTCCTTGACAAAGTAGACAAATGCTGGATGGGTGGTGAAGATGACTTGCTCTAGGGAAATGGAGTGTTTGGGAAGCAATGTAACCCCCCTCAACAATTTGGATAGCTTTTGTTCTATAAGGCTAGTGATGAGATTTGATAAAGTGGCACCAGTGTAAAGAATTGAGTACCTATAAGGGAAGAACTTCAACAGATTGAGAGTAGAATGATATGTGTACAATAATGATTCAGAACATTAACATGAGCCCACATATTCTAATCTTAACCATCTGTGTATGCAATTCAATGGGCTCTTTCCCCAGCTACTGCCAGGCTTCTTGTCTTGATTAACAACTTGAAGTTCTATCTGACTACGGGTTAAAAGGACTCAAATACGGATATAAACTGGAAATTTTCTCTGTTCAGTTAGGTCCTTTTAAATATTCATTTTTGCTTTTTGTTGTTTCCTGGTTATCAAAAGAAACAAGACTTGTGGAAGGAAAGTATTACCATTTAGAGGCCAAGGAGAAGTGGGACCTGTCAGCATCCTTTTTAATAAAGCTTGATCTCCTAAATCTTCAGCCCAATTCCTGGTGATTTTTTAAAACACTAGGTCTATTCTTCTTGCCTGGGCAGCTAGGTGGCACAGTATAGGGCCTAAAGTCAGGGAGACCTGAGTTCAAAAGTGACCTCAGACACTTATTAGCTGTGTGACCCTGGGCAAGTCACTTTGTCATGATAAATCTGAGATTAAGATAATCTGAGGCACAAAAGTCCCAGCATAATGTATTTATTGGTAAGGCCAGCAATTACCAAGGTCAATGATCCCTGAGTGATCAAAGATCCTCCAACATAATCAGAGCATCCTTTTATACAGTCTGGTTATGTAAGTTCATTACATAATGTCAACTAGTGCTAACTAAACTAGGACTGTGATTGGACCATAATTACATTGATTTGCCAAAGGGGTCTTCTAAGAGTCCATGGTAACAAGGAAACAGTTAGTTAACATTCTTGGAAAGTCCCCAACCCCACCCTACCTGTACTAGAGAAACCCAGTGCTAGGGAAA